CCACCTGCTGCCCCTCCCCCTCCCCTCCAAGCCCCCCCCACCCCTTCTCCATCTCCCCCCTCTTCCTCTCCCTCTTGGTCTCCAGACCTGGAGGAGCCAGAGGTGGGCTGGGCCTCACCGACAAGGCGCAAGGCTTCCCGAGGCCCTCAGTGGGTTTGGGGTGGGGTGGGGGCAGCCCCTAAGCTTTTCAGTTTCAGGCTGCCAGCTCATGCCTCAGTTTCCCTGTTGGGTCTCTTTGTTTGGCTGGATCACAGGCCCTGGGTGCCTCAGTTTCTCCTCGGGTGCGGGCACGACCAGCTCTGTCCCAGCTCTGATGTGGCCAGCGCTGGGCAGGGCTTTGATGGCCGGCAGCCAGCAGGCTCACCACCACCCCTTTACAGATGGGGAAACTGAGGCACCAACCAGGCCACCACTCTGGGTCTGTGTCACCCCAGGCGGGCTGCAGACAGAGAGGGCCCTTGTCCGAGGTCACAAAGGGGACCTCACAGCCTGGCCTGGGTGATCTGGGCACCTAAAGCCCCAAGAACAGAAAGCGTTGATGGAGAGACACCGTGAGGGACGGGAGAGCCCGGTCACAGACAGCACTGGGCCACAGGGGCCTCCACGCCGCCTCCCTTCTTCCCAGGTCGGGCTCCTTGTTACGCAGCATGGTCCACACTCACTCACCCACCTGCCACACTCCGGGCACGTCACTCTCCTCCTTTCCAAGAGGGAGCTGAGTCACAGAGCGAAACAGGAGGTGCAGGGACCCCACAGCCGGGCCCAAGGTGCTCTTCCTCTGCCTCACCGGTAGCCAACACTGTATACCTGCACAGTCACCTTCCCCGTCCCGAAGCCCGGTGCCGCCACATCTGCCAGCCGTGCTGGAGCCGGCCTGCCTTCTGCTCTACAGCTCCCGTGCAGATGCAACCGCTCAAGGGACAGGCAGTGCCACAGATGGGAGCACAACTCCAGGTTCCGTGTTCCCCGCTGCCCCACCCCAAGCCATGCCCTCCCACCTGCCCTACCTCCCGCTCGTCAACTGAGACAAGCTAGGTGGGCTCCTCTCGAGGGAGGGAGAACGTCCCCAAGAGAACGCCCTGCGTGGGTGACCCTGCCTTTCCGATGAGCGGACGAGGAACAGCCCTGGTCTCTAACCTCTAGGCGCTACCAGCTGGGTGGTGGGCCTTTTCCTCCACTGCCCCACGACCCCTACTGTAACCAGGTGGACGGACCCCACATCGACACACAGGCGAGCAGTGGCTTCGGTCAACCCCACCCCCTTGCCAGTCTCCACTGTGGGGACGAGGGTGGGACAGTGACCGATTTGTGGGTGAACCCAACAGAAGGAAGCCTAGGATTTCCCCATATGACCGGAAGTGGTTCCCTTCCATCTGGGTGTGACTGAGAAAACGTAGACTCCACAGGAGCTGCTGCCGACGGTGAGGCTGCCACGCACAAAGTCAGCTGAAGACGCTGCCTTGGGCACCCAGGGACTCGCGGAGAACCAGAGCCGACACTGCCTATCTGGGCCAAACCTGCCCTGGTACCCATGTAACCGCCAGTACGCACACCAGGACGCGGTGTTTCCTACTCACCACACAAATCACGCGGGGTGACACAAGTGATTTTTGAAGATGAATTATTCCACCTACACACCAGTGTCTATGTGTGGGACATAGAAATGCCAAGGTATTAGCAAGCAGCAGTATCAGAACAGGAGTGGCCTCAAGGCCCCAGAGAAGGCAGGCTGGGTGGGGGGCATCCCCCCATAAACAAGGTCTGCATCGGCCTAGCAAATCACCTGCAAGTAGGGATGTGCGGGGATGCTGGTGTCCCCTGGAAGAGGGCGAGGACCCGGGGCCTTGGTGAGGAGCTGGGGGAGGGAACAGCCTCTGCCAACAAAGGCACAGAGGCACCCGGCCTGGAGCACCGTGGGCATCAAAATTGCAGAGCTGCTATGACGACACCCTGCTGCTCACAAGGCACCAGGTCCACCCAGTCCCTGTCCAGGCAGCAGGAGTGAGGAGCAGTCACCTTCCAACTGGACTGTGAGCACAAGCACAAAGACCACGTCCTGACCCACCCAGTCTGGCAGAGCTGCCCTCTCCCCTCATCCCTGAGGCTGACTTGGACCCGATCGCCACTGGTACCCACACCCTGCACATGTCAAAAACTTTTAAATGACGTGGTCTTTGTTTTCTCCTTAAAAGCTTTAACACATTGCTCTAAGCAACTTTGGCATTTGAAGCAAGCATTGTTACTCGCGAACTCTGAGAACAACCGTTTTCCCCTCAGAAATTGTCTACAGTGTTTTGAAGTGCTTATCCTTTTCCATTCTGCATAGGTATTCATCTACTAGTTTACTACTACTACTACCCCCTACCTAGTTCTCCATTCTACCAAAACCTTCTGTCCTGATCAGTTTGTTAAGTGTTAGGTGAGGTGAGAGTTCATCAACAGTGCTACCACTACCTGTATCCTTATAATAAGACACCATGGTACTTTGGGCATCATCAATGTTTATAATTCTGAATTAATCTTTTCTACCCACTGAGAGTAGAGTCCTCCATGTGCTCCAAAAATGTAAGTTTCTTAGACCTGACTGACTGATTACTTTTTCTTAGAGTTGAATGTGTTTAAGGGAATCTCAACCTTAATGGCTAGCATTTATTTTCACCAACTGTGTATCAGCAATTCTGTGCTAAGCCCTTAAAATGTATTACCCTAAAATATATGTATGTGTGTGTGTATAATTTCAAAGCAAATGTTTTAAACTGAAAAAAAAGGTATGAAGACATATTTTTATTTTTAAAGACTTGGCTACAGTGTTGAAATGCACTTGAAAAAGCAAGAGGGACAAAAGTTGGTACTGCAGAAATCCAAATGAGATGGCTATGTCTTGAAATATAACAGGATAAACACTGGTAAAAGGCAGGTTCTAGAGGCATTTGGAATCTACAGGACTTGGTGGTATGAGACTGAGGCAGGAATAACAGAGGATGACTCTCCAGTGTGAATTTGCTGATGGTGAGCAAGATGTACACTCTGCCTGAAGGCTTTTCCACATTCTTTACATTCATAGGGTCTTTCTCCTGTATGGATTCTCTTGTGCAGTGTAAGATGGGTGATCTGGCTGAAGGATTTGCTACATTCTTTACATTCATAAGGTTTCTCTCCTGTATGAATTCTCTGATGTAGAGTAAGTGACTTATGGTGGCTGAAGGCTTTGCCACAAACACTACAACCATAAGTTTCTCACACCTCTGGTGACAAATCAGGGATGCCCTCTGTCTGAATGCCTTCCCACATGCAAGACACTTATATGGTCTTTTGCCAGTGTGGAGTGTCTGATGTTGAACAAGGTATGAGCCATCACGAAAGGCCTTCCCACACTCAGTACACTCATAAGGCTTTTCACCAGTGTGAACTCTCTGGTGCTGAACAAGGTGTGCAGTCTGGCTGCAAGTCTTACCACATTCCTGGCACTCATACGGTCTCTCTCCAGTGTGTACTTTCCGATGCTGCACAAGGTGTACGTTCTGACTGAAGGTTTTGCTGCACTCCTTACACTTGTAAGGCTTCTCTCCTGTATGAATTCTGTGATGATGAGCAAGGCGTGTGCTCTGCCGAAAAGCTTTCCCACATTCCTTACATTCGTAGGGCTTCTCTCCAGTGTGAACTCTTTGATGAAGAGTCAGCGAGCCACAGTGGCTAAAGGCTTTCTCACAAATACCACACCCGTAAGGCTTCTCTCCTGCATGAACTCTCTGATGCACAGTCAAGGACCAGCCATGGCTGAAAGCCTTACCACACATACTGCATTTGTAAGCTCTCTCTCCGGTGTGAATTCGCTTATGCTGGCTAAGTCCTATGTGATCAGTAAAAGCCTTCCCACAGTCGATGCAATCAAAGGGTTTCTCTCCAGTATGATAGTACCGCCGATGACGTATGAGAGAAGCATTCTGTCTGAAAGCTTTCCTACAGTCAACACACTCATAGGGTCTTGTCCCAGTGTGAATCCTACGATGATGAGCTAGGGACGAACAGTCACTCAAGGCCTTCCCACATTCAACACACTCATAGGGTTTCTCTCCAGTGTGAACTCTCTGATGTTGAGCAAGGTGTGCAAGCTGGCTGAAGGCTTTATTACACTGCTTACACTGATAAGGCTTTTCTCCAGTGTGAACTCTCTGATGCTGAGTAACATGAGCGTTCTGGCTGAAGGCTTTTCCGCATTCACTACATTCAAAGGGTTTTTCTCCTGTGTGTATTCTCTGATGTTGCACAAGATCACTCTGGCTAAAGGACTTACCACACTCAATACATTCATAGGGCTTCTCTCCAGTGTGAATTCTTTGATGAAGGGTAAGGGCTGAGATTTTGTTGAGTGTTTTCTCACAGTCCTTACATTTTAAAAGTTTCTTTTCTCCATAAACATGCTTGCATTTTTTCACAAATGAATGTGTTTTCACATCTGTATCAAAATTATATACTCTCTCTTCCATGGGAAAAATCTGTTTTATATAAGGTAATGTACTCAGATGAAAATCTGCCCCAGATTTGATAGTGTGGTCTGCTTTCTCACTAAGGTTATCAATATGACTGATCATCTCTTGCTTCAAGTATGTCATCTGACTCACTGGCTCACTCTCACATAAGCCCTCCTCACATTTCCAGTTTTCCTCTAATGTGAAACTTTTAAGGTCACAGTTTAAAGGTCCTTCCTGAGATAAATCTTCATAAATGTCCTGGTTTAAAGATAATTCCTTGGACAACCACATATACTTCAGGTCTGCAAGATATTAAGAAAGCAAATGTATCTTTTATTAAATGCTAGACAAATGGAAACTTCCAAGATGAAACCACACAAATCAGTTACTAAAACCACAAAAGGTATGTTTGATATTTCTTAAGTAAGTTTAGAAGATAAAAGCATCCTCACGTTCCAAGAATAAACCCTTGTTTGCCACAGTATATTACAGTATGTTACCTTTTATCTAAGTTTTGTACTCATATTTGTAACTGAAATTTGTCATCTCCTTTTTAGTATTCATTTTCATTCAATCTACCTTTTTATAATTCATTTATTTCTACTTTTCTACAGATACAAATTATAATATATAACTTATTTTGTTAAGAACATGCAATGGGAAATCAAAGCTATGTTTAAATTTTTTTTTAAATTATTACAGTAAAAGACACATTGGCAAGAACAAGAGGACAAATGTATTTAAAGTGAGAGAGAGTATTCTGAAGCAATTAACGGCAATGTGTCTGTAACTGTAATAATTTTTTAATTTAAACATCTACCATATTTAACACCCCATCACTGAACAAATATTTCTGGAAATTTCTGTCAAGTAAAAATATTACAGTGTGTCCTCAGCCACTTTATTCACTAGATCTAGAACCATGCATCTTCTGGCTCTTTCTCAAACTCAAAATTACCGTGAAAAGTAAAAACATTTTCTACTGATTCAGGACACTGAGGCAGCCACAACAGCACAACTACAGATACTCAGAAAAGCAGGCTTCCACAACTGCTCCAGGAGGTACCAAGACGGATGGGAAAGACCTGTTCAAAGTGAGGGGGAGTGAAGAGGAGCCACAACAATGTGTCTTTTATTGTAATAAATTTTTTAAAATTTAAACATTCAGTGTATTTTTCATATCTCATACCTGTAATACCTTTTAGGACAATAAGCTCACCTTTTAAGAAAGGAAAATATTTAAAACAGTTGAAAAAATAAACAGAAACTTGTCTAAATTCAGAAATGTTTAAAGTCAGGGATAATTATCAATACAGAACTTGAGCAGTATTAGGTAAACATCAAATTAACAGTTCAAAAACCACATGCTAGTACGTAAAGAGAAATAATACAGGTGGTAGCATTCAAAGGAGAACCATTCCATTTGGGAGTGAACTTAGGAGGTATTTTCCAACGAACACCAGAGCAAGCAACTTTAAAGAACATTTTCTTCAACTCTAGTTATACTGTACTTACCTGGGCACAGATTTCTTGACATCTCTCCTGGTATTACCCACGGATCCTTCTCTTGCTCCAATAAGGAAATCACATCTGGTTTAGAAATGCAAAGACCTATATGGAAGACATGAAAGCTGAGTAAGCTCTGGGTATTTAAGAGGTATAACCAGTCTGAATGGTCTTAAAGAGAGAGGGACACTGTCAGGAAAATGGAGGGAAGGGGTAAAAAGGCTGCCGAGTCATCGGGAGGTAGAAGGAAGAATACTATCCTTACCTACTGAAACCAAGTTTCTGTAGTTCTCCAGCATCACCTTCCTGTACAAACTTCTCTGGGCAAAATTCAGCCATTCCCATTCATCCTGGGAGAAGTCTACAGCCACATCTGTGAAAGTCACTAAACCCTAGAATGACACAAATATAATCTTGCTCAATGTCCATATCCCCATGAGGCTCTAGGCAAAGGGTTACGATGCTCTCACTATGCAATAAAAACCTGGTCAGTAACTGCAAGAAGGGTCTAGACAATCCAGGTGAGGTAGTTACTGAACAACCTTCTGCCTAGTCATAGTGCACACACTAAAAGAGACGAGACATTCTCTGGTCTTTGCTTACAGTTCCATGGTGGTGAGAACACATTCTCACATGCAAATGCACTGACTCCATTCACACAAGATATAGTCAAGAGCTAAATTAGGTACCCATGTTAGGAGATGGATCGTTTCTCCACATGGAGAAATTAAAGAGGTCTGGAAATGTGAGGAAAGTTTCAAGGAACAATGCTGACCTGATGAACATGATTTCAATCTCCACAATATTTTCTAAGAAATCTTATGTGTTCTTGAGATGTTAAGAGTTGTGCCTAAAAAATGAAAGAAAAAATTACCTAGCAAAATGTATATGGGGAGAGAACACATTTGGAAATTATCTTTTTATACTCTTCTGAGAAGTACCAGGACAAATCATGCAATGTGACATATGTCATGCAACCTGTGTTCTGTCATATGGGCCATATTTCCTAACCAACCAGCACAGTAATGGCAATACTCCACCCTATGACTGCTGGAAGATTTACAATTTATTTTGTGATTTCATTTATGTCAACATCTAAGTAGCTGAATGTGGTGGCACACACCTGAAATCCTAGCACCTGGGAGGCTGAGGCAGGAGGATCACTGTGAGTTCCAGGTCAGCCTGGGCTACATAAGTGAGTTCAAGGCCAGCCAGCACTACACAGCGAGACTCCTATCTCAAAAAAACCAAAAGAAGAAAAAACTCTAAGTAAAAGCATTTTAAATAAATACCAGCATTAAATGAAATTTTTAAAAAAGGTCTAATTACTACAAGGAAGTACTGACTAGCTGGGTAATCTTGGCCAAATTAATTAACACCCCTGGGTCTCCAATTTGGCATCTGAAAAAACAAGGATAACTTTAGTACTTACCTCGTAGCAGTGCTGTGAGAATTAAATGAGAAAATAGCCTCAAATGGCATAAGGCAAATGGTCAAGAATTATTACCTATGATCATGACAAAAGATGGAGGAGGAGGCTCAGAACAGGTGAACCACTGGCTTAACACTGCAGTAGAAGTTCTGACATCTTATCTAATAAACTGTAGTAAAGACATGGTGTCTATATCCAGACCACCTACATTCAAAAGGCGTTCTGTCTGGTAAGTCTATACTTAGTTTTGTTTTTAATCATTGATATTTTAAGGAATTCATGAGAATATTGTATTTACCTACAATACTTACCATTTATGTTACATTTCCTTCACTACTGATCTTCAAGGTTCCCTTCTAGTGTTATCGCCAACTGAAAAACTTTCTCTAATAACTCTTTCAGAAACCTGGAAATAAATTCTTAGTTTCCTCCCACATGAGAAACCTCATTCCCCCTTCATTGCTGTAGGCTATTTTCACAAGACGTGGGATTCTGGGTTGACAAATCTTTTCTCTGAGCACTTACAAAAACTCAGGCAGTTCCTTCTGGCTGATAAGAAGTCCACAGTGATTTAAATCACTGTAGCTCTATGTGCTATACATGATTTTTCTGACTGATTTTTGAGATTTCTTTCTTGTCTTTAGTATTTAACAGTTTGAATTTATTTGAAGTTTCCAGGCAGGGAACTTGGAGCTTATCATGCTGGGGTTTGCTGAGGTTCACAGATCCACAAGGAGATAGATAACTTTCCTCAAAACTGAGAAACACCTAACATTTCTTCAAATATTCTTTTCTACACTCCACTTTCTTCTCTCCTTTTCACCTTCTGATGATGTATCATTTCAAACATTCTGGTATCATCCCACAGGGCTCTGAGACTTGGCTTAACCTTTTCCCTCTCTGATGTTCGTATGAGATCTCTATCCACTTCAAGTTCACCTTCTCTGGCATCTCCATTCTCCCTCTAAGCTCACCCAGTGAGTCTCTTGGTTATTGTTTTTGTTTCTTACTTATATCTCCTATTTCTTTGTTGCGACTTTCTATCTTTCCACTTGTTTTAAGAATATCCAATCATATTTGTTGGAGCATTTTATAATGGCTGCTTCAGCACCTACAGTGTCACAATGGGTTAGTGCATGGTACTTATACAACAGCTGCTTTGAAGTTTTTGTCAGATAATTCCAACATTTATATCATCCTGATGGTAGTATCTGTTGTCCTTTCCCTGGTGGATTGGAACTTTTCTGGGTTTCTGTTTGTTTGTTTGTTTTGTAAGCTGAGTAATTTTGGATTGTATATGGAACATTTTAGACATGATATTATGCATTTGTTTAAGGACTACAGAGAAGGTTATGTTGTGTTCTATGTTGCAAGTGCCAACCTCTGCCTCTCTCGTTGTTTCCTGTTTTTGTTTTCAAAGCCTCTGCCGTGCCTGTGCACCCCCCAGGGGTTGCCTGAGCCCTGGACAGTGGCCAGCCCTCGATGCACTTCTCAGGGACTATGGGGTGCTCTTTGAGGTCAGATCTGTGCATGAGCAGCTCAGAGGAAGCCCATGAGCTCATAAACTATACGTGGTTGATTTCCAGAGCTCCTTCCTCTCTGTGATCTCTCCAGTTTCTTTTATTTCGCAGAAGCATTCCTTTTCTGTCCTCTGGCCAGAGAACGGGGGCTTACTTATTCCATCCCACTGGACAATTCCCAAGATGATACCCAAGTCTGGGGCCAATCATGGAGAGGACAAAAACAGAAAGAAGAGAGTTTAGCCTACCCTCTTAACACAGCTTCTCTGATTAAAGGGGACATCTCTCCTCCCTCAGATTGTAAGACTTCTGCAGACCCCACTGCCACTTCAAGGCCATGAAAAAACAGACCATTTTTTTCAAAAGGAGATTTCCCATCTGAGCATTAGGAGAGCCCTTCCTCACCCCTGAGCCACAACCAGAAAGCTGCTCCTGTGGCTCTTTCTGCCCATGCCAATACCCACTACTGGGTTTGGAGGTCGTTGAATCATTGTAGGAGATACCGAAGACTGGAAAGGAAATACAGTAGTACCTTGGTTCACAGCCTTAATCTGTCTTACAATCTTGGGGAAGATGTTTGTGTCTGTGTTTTTATGGAGAAAATGGCCACAGTTTATGTGTTACCTGATGTGGAGTTTGCAAATGGAAATAAAACCTTGTCAGAAGCTTTCATTTGGGAACCAAACCGTGAACAGAAGTGTCTGTGAACCGAGGAATTGCTGTATGTCATAGTGGTGGCACCACAAGTTTGAACTTCTCCCCCAGTCTGTCCGCCACCACTTTCTTCTCAGAGACCTCAAATTCCTGCTCCAGGCAGGCTGTCCTGGTTTTACAGCAGCTTTCAATAAGAAATTCAAGGTGGGGCTGTATGTTTAGTATACCTTACGCACAACCAGGACCCTTTCAGATTCAGTGTGAGTAGTTTATAAATTATTCTATTAGAAATAAAAACCATCCTGATGTTCAGTGCTTCTTGTATATCATACTTTATATTGTAGTTCTTTCACTCTGTGTATATGAAGATTATTTCTTCAACAATACTCAAACACTAACTCGTGTAACTAATGTTTATATAGTGCTTAGAAAATGCCAGATACTTCGACCTAAGTACTTAAAATATATTAACTCATTAATCCTCACAACACTCCCATAAATTAGATACTATCTCCATTTTACAGTTGAGGAAACTGAAGTTAAGACAATATAACTAGTATTTAATGGACTTAGAATTTCCATCCAAGCAGGCTATGTTACAATGCTTTATGCCACTGTTGTGATTTGTGTCTAGATGTCCCCCAAATACTTATGCAGTCATAGATGGGGCTTTTCGGAGATGGCTAGATGTAGAGTATGTGATGCTAGGATCAAGGATGCAATGTTAGGACTAAGTGTATGTGACTGCTAACCTGCTCTAAGGATGGACAGCCAGGATAAGATATAAGGGACAGAAAGAGACTTGTCACTGTCTTGCTGCTTTTGCTATCTTCTGCCTGCCATGAAGTGTTTCTCCTCTACACTGCAGCCCTGCCTTGGAGCCAGCCAACTATGAACTGAAACCTCTACAAACTGTGAGCTGAAATGATCCTTTCCTCCTTTCAGTATTGGGTACTTTTGTCTCAGCAATGAGAAAAAGTAACTAAGCCATGTTCTGCCACACTTAAAATACCTTTATTTAAAATGTTTACAAATGCTCTGGGAAATAAGCTCCAATGGTGGTGCAGGTTTTCCATGACCGCTAGGAAAGGTATTTTGCGATTACTATAAGTCGTTCATTGTGTCTTTGGTATTTAAAAAAAAGTTGAAAAAAATTAACTTTAATTTAATTTAAATTTTTAAATTAATTTTAATTAATGTAATTTTTTAAAAATTAACTTTTATTTTATTAAATTTCTAAATTTATGAATTGAATTTCATGATTGCTTATAATAGTCAATTTAGTGAAATTAATTTAGCAGCTTAATCAGAACATAAATCATAGCTCTTAAGCTTCTATTATTGGTCTTAAAAATACTAACATTAAAAATGTTCTGGAACTCTAATCCACAAGAAATGAAAAACAGAGATTTAATCAACATAATCAGAGATACAAGCAAAAATTCAACTACAAGAATGATCACTACAAGGCTGGGCATGGTGGCACACACAGGGAATTCTAGCACTTGGGAGGCTGAGACAGGAGGACTGCCACAAGTTCAAGGCCAATGTGGGTTACACAGTGAGTTTAAGGCTGGCCAGACCAACTGCATAGTAAGAGTGTCTCAAAAAAAAAATCACTATACAGCCCTCCATTAAACAGTTAAATTGGCAACAATCTACCTATGCACCTATGGAGTAAGAAAGGGTTAAGTAGACTATGGTAGTCACCCTAGAAAGAAAAAAGGATACAGAGCTTCATCTGACATTTTAAGATGCTCACAGCTCAAGTGGTGAGGGGAACCTTTGAATACTCTGGCCAGAATGACACTTGTCCCATCTTTACTTGTATATCTCTACTTTCTTCAAGGTACAATTCAGAAATCTCTGTCCATGAAGGTCTCCAAACCCCTCCCTTTCAGCAGTGACTATAGTTAGGCAGACCTTACCCTGTACAAGGATCCCTCACCAAGGAGACAAAAAGGAAACTAACATAATAGACTACTTCTTGTAAACCGTGTGGCATGTCCCAGAGAATTACCAATCCAGAAGAAGAGGCAGCTTTATATCTACACCCCCAAAGGCACATGGTACATTAATGACCCTCCCCCTCTGCTGCACAACAAATCTCTGATCAGCCTACAGCACTACTGCTATCCCTACTTTACAGTTGAGAAACTGAAGTTAAGGCAGTAAAACTAGTATTTAGTGGAACTTATCACAAGGTAAGCATTTGCTGCATTTTCACTTCTCTCGCAGATTGAAAACTCTCAGCAAACCAGGGCAGAAACTTAGGGATCAGGAACATAATGACACTCAAATTTCCTCCAAGGGCAATACTTTTGCTTTGTCAGATGCCTATGAAAACACTGAGGAAAAAAACAAAGGGCTCAGATGGAACTATTTCTTGAATAAAAAATAAACACCACATAGGAAGAGGAAAAGCCTCTAGGAAGACTGGACTATTTGAGTCTACATCTACATTGCCATCATCCAACAGATGCGAAGGAAATCGGAAACAGGCCCACAGCAGGATTCTTAAATAGACAATTTTCAAAAATAAACATTACAAGTGGATGCAACTACAGACCATACTCATAAGTGAAATAAATCGGACCCACATGTGTAAACATCACATTGTCTCCCTAGTGTAAGAACATGAAAGAGTAAATAAAACCCAAAAATGTACAATAGATATTATGAAAGGGAAAGAAATTGCTCAAAGGAAGGAACAACTGGGATGAGGGAAAGAAGAAAAAAAAGTACTAAGGCATTATATATTACACATATATATATATATTGGGGGCATAACAGTACTTTTGGTGCCTGGTGGTT